GAGGGGTTACTCATTAATACCTCATGGAGATCATAGTTAAGTCCATCCACTCAACAAGGCCCAGTTGCCTTCATCCCAAACGTCCTCTCAGTCATGGAGGAAGCAAAAGTTCTTTCCTAATTAGACACGACGACTGGCAGATCAGCACCCTTCCCTCTGTCCAGTCAGGCTGCAGCGACCATAACTGAATTCACAACTCCCACAGGTCTGGGAATTACACCTTGCAATTCATACTCAGTATTGCAAGCTCTGAGAAGTACCCGAGGCCAGGACCCTAGAGGGGTAAAACCGGGTGGTAGGCCCAATACTACACTTCATGATGTGTCCGCGGGGCTCAGGGGGAGAGGTCACAAGTCTCCCTGTGTCTCCTGAAGTTAGGCTGACTTCAGAGGTTGGGAAGCTAAGCACACAGACTCACCTTTCCAGGGGCATCTGCCGAGGGTCATCGGGAGCTTCAGGCGCCTCAGCCAGGAGGCGGCTTGTCACCCACTGTCCCTGATGTATAGCAAAGCCCCACACCCAATCCAGGAGATGACTGCAGCAGGCTGTGATGCCAGCCTCAGGGAGGCTGACATAGGCCACCCACATCAGAAACCACAAGCACACCACAGAACTAATGGCCCCAGGGCTGAGAGTGGTTGTCTGAGGTGGAGTAAGCTTGGATTCCCATGTCACTGAGAGTTGCCAAGTGTCATTGGTGATTTGTCTCCTGCCTGCTAGATGAAGACACACATTCCTCCTAAGACATACCTCTGAGGGCCGGGCACTGGTGGCTCACGCCTGTCATCCTAGCTACTCAGGAGGCTGATATCTGAGGATCGTGCTTCAAAGCCAGCCCGGGCAGGAAAGACTCTTATCTCCAATAAACCACCAGAAAACCGGAAGTGGCACTGTAGCTCAAGTGGTAGAGCGCTCGCCTTGAGCTGAAGAGCTGAGGGACAGCACCCAAGCCCAGAGTTCAAGCCCCATGACCAACAACAAAAAAAACATACCACTGAGACTCACAGACTAGCCTCCGGGGGACAGGACCTGGTCAGGGACCCTGCCAGGCTTTCCCAAGCCACAGCAATCTATGTACATGGGTGGTAGAATGGGTGCTAAAAATAGTGCAAACTCAGTTAAGGAAAAACAAAGACTCTAAGAGGGAACTTTTGAGATCCTATTTTTATCTTAGCCACACGGAGTCATTGTGAGCAATTAGGCACGTATAAATTATCATTACAGGGGCTGGGAAGGTGGCTCAGTGGTAGAGTGCTTGCCTTGCATGCGGCTCTGGGTTCAATTCCTCAGCACCACATAAACAAAAAGAAAAAAGCTGGAAGTGGTGCTGTGGCTCAAGTGGTAGAGAGCTAGCCTTGAGATGAAGAGCTGAGGGACAGCGCTCAGGCCCAGAGTTCAGGCCCCATGACCGGACCCAAAAAAATTATCATTACACACACACACATTCCCCTTTTATACTCATTTCTCACTATCACTATCTTCAAATCAGCCCTTTTAACCAGGGGTTTCGTGTACTGATCTTATTAAAACTCTGCAACGCTGCACCAGCTTCAGCCCCTCACCCCCACCCCCACCCCCCCATCCTGGGAGACGCCTGCAGCCCTTACCAACAGCAATGATCAGATTCTAATCTTTGCCAGTCTGACAGATAAAGACATTTCAGCAGTTTGATTTTGTATTTCCTTGATAATCACTCAAGAAAAGCATATTTTCATGTTTATTCACTATATTCTTTATCACACTATTTTGGTGTGTATAGATGGGTGTGTTTATGTGTGCATGTGCTTGTGTGTATGTATTGTATGCAGCCCAGAGCTACAACTCTGGAATGTGAGCATGCCTGAACTCTTGGAGATGGAATCAAAGTCTTAAGGCATGAAACTTCAAGAATGTCCAAGCATACTTCCAACATTTAAAGCTTAAACAGCTTGGCCCCATCTTGTCTGTGGCATATACAAGTATGTAATATAATCTTCTGAAGGGGAAGGGAGGGACTGGGGTTTGAATGTTTGCTACTCAAGAAGCTGAGATCTGAGGATTGCAGTTCAAAGACGGACTGGGCAGGAAAGGCCGTAAGATTCTTTTTTTTTTTTTTGGTCCGGTCATGGGGACTGAACTCTGGGCTTGGGCGCTGTCCCTTAGCTCTTCAGCTCAAGGCTAGCGCTCTACCACTTGAGCCACAGCGCCACTTCCAGCTTTTTTCTTTTTGCTTATGTAGTGCTGAGGAATCGAACCCAGGGCCTCATGTATGCAAGGCAAGCGCTCTACCACTGAGCCACCTTCCCAGCCCCCCATAAGACTCTTATCTACAATAAATCACCAGAAAACCAGAAGTGGTGCTGTGGCTCAAATTGTAGAATGCTCGCCTTGAGCTGAAGAGCTGAGGGACAGCGCCCACACCCAGAGTTCAAGCCCCACGACCAAAAAAAAGAAGGAAGAAGAAAGAGAGAGAAAGAGAGAGAGGGAAAGAGACTCAACAATTTTGCCAGGCTGGCCTCAAACTGGGGAGGCTGAGGGCTGGAATCAGGGGCGGTAGCAACATGAAATTTAAGATCTCAATTATTTTTTTAATTTATTATTTTTTGCAGAACTGAGGACAGAGCCTGGAAAGTGCTTTCCCAAAGGCTAACTGTCCAACCCCTCATCTTGGAACTGTTTTTAAGTGCACAGATCAGTAGCATTCAATATTCAAATTGTTGTGTACCATCGCTATTCATTTCCAAAACCCTTTTGGTCTTGCAAAACTGAAACTCCACACCCATTACATAGTGCCTCACCATTTCCCCTTCACCCAACCTAATAAACTGACAAGAGCATTTAAAACCTACCATTCTACCTTCAGTCTCTAGAATGTAAGTGAAGTGACTCAGCACGGTCACTCTGCTCTCTCCAGTGCTGTTTGTAAGTGACTCAGCACGGTCACTCTGCTCTCTCCAGTGCTGTTTGTAAGTGAAGTGACTCAGCACGGTCACTCTGCTCTCTCCAGTGCTGTTTGTAAGTGACTCAGCACGGTCACTCTGCTCTCTCCAGTGCTGTTTGTAAGTGACTCAGCACGGTCACTCTGCTCTCTCCAGTGCTGTTTGTAAGTGACTCAGCACGGTCACTCTGCTCTCTCCAGTGCCATCTGTAAGTGAAGTGACTCAGCACGGTCACTCTGCTCTCTCCAGTGCTGTCTGTAAGTGAAGCGACTAAGTACAGTCACTCTGCTCTCTCCAGTGCTGTTTGTAAGTGACTCAGCACGGTCACTCTGCTCTCTCTGGTGCTGTTTACAAGTGACTCAGCACGGTCACACTGCTCTCTCCAGTGCTGTTTACAAGTGACTCAGCACGGTCACTCTGCTCTCTCCAGTGCTGTTTGTAAGTGAAGTGACTCAGTAGTCAAGATCATCATGGCTTAATGATTCAGAAGCACCCAAAGAAGACATACTGTCAACAGCAGTACAAGGAGATGTGGCTCACTGGCAAAGCACAGAGCTTGGGGTCCATCTCATCACTACCAAAAATCCCCACTAGCATTGTAATGCTTACATCACAATGTCTGTATCACTCAACTGTCTTCAGTCTTATTACACGGGTACTATATCATCTCACACACCTTGAGATAATGCAGAATAATAAGATTACCTTGAGAGCTGGGCACCAGTGGCTCAAGCCTGTAATCCTAGCTACTGAGGAGGCTGAGATCTGAGGATCACGGTTCAAAGCCAGCCCGGGCAGGAAAAACTGTGAGACTCCTATCTCCAATAAACCACCAGAAAACCAGAAGTGGCGCTGTAGCTCAAGTGGTAGAGCGCTCGCCTTGAGCTGAAGAGCTAAGGGACAGCGCCCAAGCCCAGAGTTCAGACCCCACGACCAACAAAAAAAAAAAAACTTTGAGAGATCATTCACATAACTTTTATTAAGTATCTTGCTCTAGTCTCTGCTGTACTATTGTTAATCTTCCTGTGCCTGTTTATAAACTGTACCATACACAAATTGAGGGAGAAGAGAAAACAAATACAATCACTATAGTCCATGTACATTGTACATTATGCAAAAACTGAACAATGTAACGATGGTAGGGCTGAGAGTGGGAAAAGGGTAAGAACAGTGGAAGGGGTGATATTGCTCAAGAAGCATTTACTCATAACCTGACTTGTGGAACTGGGACCTCTTTAGAGAACTACTTAGCTTCTTTTTTAAAATGTACCATAGGGATGCATTATAAGAAAAATATGTATATGGAATTCATTACTATACTATTTCAAGCATAGCAATGAATGACTATTCAGTAATGACCATTGAGAAATGCTCTTTGAAGATAATTCCTGTGAGGACTACATACACTATAGTCGCTAGATCCAGTATGCTGTAACTATCTCAATGCCACACCTTTCAGCCACGTGAGTTTACTCCATGGACACCAGAGTAACTGCTGATAGGAAGACTTACTTATGCTACTCTGCCTTTTCTTTCTGCAGACCCTACAGCTTCTTTGACCCTTTTTTCTTTCCATATTACCTCCTTTTCATTGAATGTTTCAGTGAGATATTGTTACCCCATTCTTAGGGGCTCTCGCTGATTTTCCCACCATGTCCTCACCAAAACTCGCAACAACCAGGGACCAGCGACTCATAGAGGCTGACGTTCGGAGGTTTGCGATTTGAGGTCAGCCCTAGCAGAAAAGTTCACAAAATAAATTTTGATTACATAACTTTACAACTAATGGTTAAATTAACTTTAACCTTCTAATGTACTAAGCTGTACAGACATCAGCGTGTTGGTTGGTAGTCAGGAAATGTCAACTGACCAGTAAATGTGAGTGATGAATGAAGACGTAAGACTTCAAACTAGGTACACTTCTTCATAGGTCTCCTCCACTCCCCCCCCAAAAAAAAATCCTACCAGGTGCTGGTAGATTACACCTGTAATTCAAGCTACTCAGAGAGGATCTCAGTTTGAAGCCAGCACCTGCAGAAACATCCACGAGACTCTGGTCTCCAATTTACTGCCAAAAAGCCAGAAGTGGAGCTGTGGCTCAAGAGGTAGAATGCTCATTCAGAACAAAATAAAAAAAGCTCAGAGACAGCACTCAAGCCTGGCACACTGACCATGTACACCTATCTGGGCATTAATGACTTCCTTTACTGACTGTCAGATGGACTTTCCCAGCTCACTGGCCCCTACTTCAGAAGACAGTTGCACAGCCCATCTGTTCTTGACACAGACTGAGGCGTCTAATCCCTCCAGCGGTGTCCGCACCGGGCACTGCAGCACTTGTAGAAGGTAGTCATTGGCTCGTCTGCAGAGCGAGTCTGAAGCTGCATGAAGTAAGCACGGGGATGTTCGCATTTGGGACACGGCTCTGGCAATAAAAACAACACAAATAAAACAAAAACCATGTGATCCATTACACCAAAACATTGCTTGTGATGAAAACAAGTCCACCATGGCCATAATCCTAGCTAAGACCTGGAGGATCTTGGTTCAAAGCCACCCCAAGCAAAAATGCCTTCAAGACTCTATCTGAGAAAATACCAGACTACAGACATGGTTTAAGTGGTGGAGCACCATGGGCTGGGAAGGTGGCTCAGTGGTAGAGTGCTTGCCTAGCATGCATGAAGCCCTGGGTTCTATTCCTCAGTACCACATACACACAAAAAGCCAGAAGTGGTGCTCTAGCTCAAGTGGTAAAGTGCTAGCCTTGAGCAAAAACAAGACAGTGCTCAGGTCCTGAGTTCAAGACCCAGGACCAGAAAAAAAAAAAGTGATGGAGCATCATCTGTGAGCAAGAAAACAGAGTAAGAGTGGGAGGCCCAAAGCAGAAGGCCCAGTATCAGCTCAGAAAACTCACTGAAGGCAATAAAGGCATGGTCTTCTTCCATAATCTGGTCTCTCTTTTTAATGGTAACTTTACAAACAGCAGCATTGTTTCCATAGCGCAGTAACACCGAGGGAAACATGGAGACCTTGGAAACACTCCCCTTCCCCTCTGACCTTGAAAACACTCTTCTCTCCCACTTTCCACCTTTCTTTTCAAATCTCATTAAAGTCTGCTTGAAGCATAACACCAAAGGCAAATACCTTAGTCCACTTTGTGCTACTATGAAAACAAAAACAAAAAAATAAAAACACTTGAAAGCCGGGCATTGGTGGCTCACGCCTGTAATCCTAGCTACTCAGGAGGCTAAGATCTGAGGATTGCAGTTCAAAGCCAGCCTGGGCAGGAAAGTCTATAAGACTCTTATCTCCAATAAACTGCCAGAAAACCACTCAGAAGTGGCGCTGTGGCTCAAGTGGTAGAGCACTGGCCTTGAGCTGAAGAGCTGAGGGACAGCGTCCAGGCCCCAAGTTCAAGCCCCACAACCGACAAAAAACAAAAAACCTTCATACTGCGTGAGAAAAGGTAATAATAGTTAAAAGCTGGGTCCTGATGGCTTATGCCTGCAATCCTAGTTACTCAGAAGACAGAGATGGATGATCAAGGTTTGAAGTCAACCCAAGCAGAATTGTTCAACCAGCAAAACGATGGACTGGAAGCACAGCTCAAGAGACAGTACCAAAAGAAAGCCAAATGAGCGCAAGGCCCTAAGTTCAAGTCCCACTGACACACACACAACCAGGGCAAAGGAGTGGGTGAGAGAGGGGTTACCCAGGTGCGGGGCGCCCGTCTACCCACGCAAGCCTGAGCTGGGGCGCAGCACTGCCGTAACAGACCCGCCGCCCCGAGCTGGAGCGCAGCGCTGCCGTAACAGACCCGCCGCCCTGAGCTGGAGCGCAGCCCTGCCATAACAGAGGAGGAAGCCCGGCCTCACCCGCCGCCCTGAGCTGGAGCGCAGCGCTGCCGTAACAGACCCGCCGCCCCGAGCTGGAGCGCAGCACTGCCGTAACAGACCCGCCGCCCCGAGCTGGAGCGCAGCGCTGGCAGCGCTGCCGTAACAGAGGAGGAAGCCCGGCCTCACCCGCGGCTCCTCAGGGCTCCCTTCCCTCCAACTGCACCTGGAGAGGCCAGAGGCGCGCCCGGGAGCGCCGGCGGGCTCGGGACCGGTGCGGAGCATCGCTCATCGCGTGGCCGCCAGCCGAGCCCCGCTCCGGCCGGCCCAGTGTGGGCCGTGGAGCCCACGCGAGCCCCGCTCCGCGCCGGACGCCACCGAGACTGACACGGGCCCAGCACTGCTTCCATAACCAACTCTGAACAGCAAACCCCGGCCCGGGCTCGGACACGGTCCGGCCGGCCGAGCCCTGACCCGGCCCTCACCGGCGGTGGAGTCCACGTTCTCCCAGGCAGCGGCTCCCCCGAGGACGTCATCTACTTCCTTCAGCTTCGGGTACTTCCGGTTTGTGACCTGACAACAGAGACGCCTTCAGAACCAACGTGGGCAAACGCCCCCATCAGGACGCCCTTCAGCAAGGCCCCAATGGGGTGGACTCCAGTTCCTGACGGCGCGGCTCGCGCCCCGCACCCCGCGGTTCAAAGCCAGCCCGGTAACGTAACCACTAGAAGACCGGAAGTGACGCTGTGGCTGAAAATGGCGGAGCGCTCGCCCGGAGCAGCTCCAGGCCCCGAGTTCAAGCCCCGCGACCGACCGAAAAGCAAAACACAAAGACCCACCTTGCGGGTGATATTGTGTACGTAGGGACAAGTGTTGCAGGCGAAGCGGTGGCAACGCTGTCCCTCCTCCACGATCAGCCCGTTCCCGCAGCCGGGGCAGAAGAGCAACATCACCTCAGCCCTGCCGCGCGGACCGCACCGGCGCGCCAGCCCCGCCGCTCGCCGGACGCACGCGCCCAGCGGGCCCAGCACGACGCGCTTCCCATTGGTCGGCCTCTCCCATGGGTCGGCCCTCCTATTTCTGATTGGTCACCACAACAGCTTCTTCCCCTCAGCCTTCCAATTAGTATCAACCAATCATGACGCAACCCTGCGGCAGGCGCCTCATTGGTCAGTCGGCGGGCTCCAGGCTGGCCTGCCTCGCCGGGACGTGCGCAGTACGTACGCGGTGCTGCGCGTGCGCGCTGCGCGTTCCCTGTGGGCCGGCTCTCTCGCTGGGGCCCGGACCCCAGGCGCGCAGCCCTGGCGGAGGCGCAGGCGCAGGCGGAGGCCGGGCTGGAGGAGCAGGAGGAGGACGAGGAGGAGGCGCTGCCGCACTCGGAGGCCGTGGACGTGTTCCAGGAGGGCCTCGCCATGGTGGTGCAGGACCCGCTGCTCTGCGACCTTCCCATCCAGGTGCGCGGCGGCCGCCGCCGGGCCGGGCCTCGCGGCTGCGCGGCCGCCTCCGCGGGGGCGGCTGCCTTTGGACTCGGGGCCCGGGCGCTTCCCTGAGCTTCCTGTGCTCAAGGCTGGCGCTCTCCCACTCGGGCCACGGCGCCACTTCCGGCTTTTTCTGCTTATGTGGTGCTGAGGACTCGAACCCAGGGCCTCACGCCTGCGAGGCGGGCGCTGTACCGCCGACCACCTTCCCGCCCGACTTCTGCTTTCTGAAAATGCTTTTTTACCGACGTGCACGTGCCGGCGCCGTGGCTCGCGCCCGGGCCCCAGCTGCGCAGGACTGGGATCTGAGGATCGCGGCTCACAGCCAGCCCTGAACCACCAGAAAACAGAAGCGAGGCTGTGCCTCCAAGTCAGAGAGCTAGCCTTGAGCCAGAAAAGTTCAGGGACAGTCTCCAGGCCCTGAGTTCAAGCCCACAGCTGACCAGAAGTAAAAAAGGACTATCATGACCAGTTTTTGGTGTCTAGTCAGCCTCACTGCCAGGCCCAAAGTCCCAATTCAGCCCCATTCTCGGTGGTGGTGGTCGGTTGAACTCTGGCCCTGGCGCTGTCCCTGAGCTCTTCAGCTCAAGGCTAGTGCTCTCCCACTGGAGCCACAGCGCCACTCCCCAGCCCCATTCTTTTGTGGGTCCATCCCTGCTATTTCTTTGTCCCTCTCCCCACAGCCTCTGTCCACTTTGGACATTATATATAAATGTGGGTAGGATGAAAGACTACAGTGCTGGAAAACTGGGAAAGCCCCTTCACACCCTTCATAATACAGGGCGCTTCTTTTGAAGCATTGTCAGCTTACTTCTCTTTCGGGCGATAAAAACACTTCCCACCTCTACTTCTGGTCTTTTCTAGGTTACTTTGGAAGAGATCAATTCCCAGATAGCACTGGAATATGGCCAAGCAATGACTGTCCGAGTTTGCAAGATGGATGGAGAAGTAATGCGTGAGTGCTATCCTCCTTCCTTGAGGCCTGAGATGTTAGCAGAGCTAATCTTGAGAAACTTGGAGGGCATGCCCAGGAGCACTAAGACATCCACAAAGCTGCCCTGCCCAACAGAGCAGAGCCAGCAAGTTCTAGGTTCTGTTCCCGCCCCCTGGTGCGCTGGCTGTGGATTCCTACAGGGTTTTTCTCCCCCCTGTGTCCACGGTTGCAGCGGTGGTGGTAGTGCAGAACGCCACAGTCTTGGACCTGAAGAAGGCCATCCAGAGATATGTGCGGCTCAAGCAGGAGCGTGAGGGGGGCATTCAGCACATCAGCTGGTAGGTGGAGCAGCAGCTTCTTCACTGTAACCATTCCCAGGGCTGGTATGGGAAAACAGCAGCTTTCAGCTTCCAGTGTTCATACCCTGGTTCTGCTACAACAGTGACTGCAGTGTGGAATCCTGGGGAGTGAGGGTGATCTTCCCTGGGTGTCACCTCAGGGCCTTATGTGACCAGAAGTGGCTTCTCTCGTTATGGATGGTACGCCTGTCAGCGCCACTTCTTCCCCTCACCTGGGTGCTGTCAGCCCTGGGTCTCCAATTGGATCAAGTGTCCTGTAGCTGAGTCTCAGAACTATCAACTAGTTTATTAGTAAGGTGCATTTGGCCCAGCTACCCCAAACACCAGCTTCTAGCTGCCTCATGCCTGGGGTGCAGGGGAAAAGCCCAGGAGGGGGATACAGCTGTCCTAGGTGCAGAGGGTTGTGTACCTCAAGCCCTTGTGGTCCTAGATGTTCAGCTCACCTTGCTCAAGGATAGCATGTGGTTCAACTCTTGTTGCAGGTCATATGTGTGGAGAACATACCATCTGACCTCTGCAGGAGAGAAGCTCACAGAGGACAGGAAGAAACTCCGAGAGTAAGTTTAGCCCATGTCCCCAGTCATAGGGAGGCATCTGATCTATTACCCTCCAGTGCCCCCGACTTCTGCCAGAGAACAGTAACAGGAGGGTCCCAAGCTGGACTGACCCTCCCATAAGGAACTTCTTGAAGGCCCTCTCCACTGGAGTGATAGTCAGACAAGCAGCTCCACGGGCCCTACTTGTACTCAGCAGCAGAAGCCCAGGGCTACGGTGCCTCAAAGAAGGAAGGTAGAGCAGTTGTGGAGCGAAAGGCTGCTCTGGTAGCGCAGTGTGGTGCACACTACACCACACAGCGTGCCACACCACTTCGTAGACGCTCATCTTCACTTGTTTTCTTTGTCTCTCACAGACACCACTTTCCTTCTCTTTCAGTTATGGCATCCGGAATCGGGATGAAGTTTCCTTCATCAAAAAGCTTAGGCAAAAGTGATCCTCCTGGGACATCTGTACTAACCGGTGGCCGGGCCTCTCCCAGCGGGAGGAGCTCCTGTCACTGTCCTCACCAAAAGAATTTTTTTTTTCGGGCGGTTATAGGGCCTGAACTCTGGGCCTGGGCGCTGTCCCTCAGCTCTTCAGCTCAAGGCTAGCGCTCTACCACTTAAGCCACAGTGTTACTTCTGGCCTTTTCTGCTTATGTGGCGCAGAGGAATGAAACGTAGGGCCTCATGCATGCAAGGCAAGCACTCTACCACCCAGCCACCTTCCCAGCCCCCTCACCAAAAGAATATTTGGCTGGCTGCATCCCTGGGGTACCACTCAGCACTTGACCCCTGAGACACTCAGGACTAGCACAGTGTCAGCCTCTGTCCCTTCCCTTCCTAGGGACTTGGACTAAGCCTGCCCTCTCCCTGGGCCCTCAAAAATCCGATCTCACATGGCTAGAGCCCTCCCTGGCCTTATGTACAGAATAACCCTATTTGCTTTACATCTGGAAGAATCAAGGCCACAGTAGCCTGTGTGGGAGGGCTGGATTTGCTCTAGGCAAGAGGTCAGCACAGATAGCTGTTGAAAAGGAGTGCTGAAGTCCAAGATACCACATCTGAGCTGGTGGCCACAGCCCTGGCTTCCTCAGCAAAGAATAAAAGCCAAGCTGGTGTGCTTGTGGAGACACCAGGAACTGTATCTCATCCTTGTGGCAGGTGTGGGCTAGGAGGCAGCAGGGGGTGGCGGTGGGGTGTGGAGAAATGTGACGGCACACACCCCTAGGTCTGTGTCCCAGCCCTGACCACCGGTCCCTCTGAGGCCTTGGAGCAAGGTGTGCCACCTAGCTGAGGGAATTCCCTGGGAGATGAAAGAAGCATGGCTGCATTTAATGCCTACTTCCCTGAGGTACATGTTGGAGGCTGGGACCCTGAAGGGCTTCCTACCACAGTCCCCAGCCAGAGACCAGGAAGGAGACAACAACCCTGGTTGTTAGTGGCAGCTAAAACGCTCCCGGTCCATTTATTGGCCACATGAGGTGGTCGTCGAAGGACTAGTTAGAAGTTTGTCATGGGAACTATTGTAATAAATGCCCAGCAATATAAGTGGTTAGACAGACGTGAACAAGGCAGGAGAGGTCTGTGTTCAGGAAGTGCACAGAGCAGGCTGCTCTGTGAAGTGAGCGGTGTGGCCTTGGGCCCATGGCTGCTCAGTGGAGCTGAGCGTCCAGCTCATACTTCTCACAGAATTTGTCCGTGAAGGGGATGCAGGTGAGGAACTCACACCACTCACAGCGGACGGGGTAGAAGTAGAAGAGGACCACCAGGCCAGCCAGCAGGCCCAGGAACACTGCTTGAAAGATGATGATTTGGCAGCGCTTTCGGTACAGGTCGAACTTGCCGAAACTGATGTATGGCAGGAAGGCAAAGGAAAGGAAGAGGCCACTGATGAAGCCTGAGATGTGGGCAAAGTTGTCGATCCAAGGCAGCAGCCCGAAAGCGAAGAGGAAGAGCACCACAGCCAGCAGCTTAAAGAAGGCACGCCACGGTCGCGCCAAGATCTGCCAACTCTGGAAGAGCTCCACGAAGAGGCAGGCCAGGATTCCAAACTGGGAGCCGGCCGGGCCCACCTGGGAGCAGTGGGATTGACTGTGACTAAGGAGGGTTGTTGATCTGCCTACCCTGCCTCAAGACCTAGAGCACACGGGACTGAGGAGCCACATGGAGAAGCTCCCTGATCCTGGGGCGGCAGCCTCACCTCTGCCCGGTACGGCAGGAAGATGGCACTAGCCAGGTTTCCAGTGATACCGCTCAGCAAGTAGATGATGGCTATGCGGTGCCAGCCTGCCAGCTTCTCCAGGTCACGCAGGACCGTCATCTGGAAGCAGACAGACACCAAGCAATGCAGGACCCTGTGGAGGAGACAAGTAAAAGGTGACCTCACCACCTCCAGGAGGAGGGTTGTGCCTGGGGCACTCCGACCACCCGCCAGGACCACATATAACTTGCCCAGCGTGCAGGAAGAGAGAGAGCCACAGGCGGTAGAACTGATCGGGCACCTCCGGGTTGAGGAAGGGAAGGAGGCCACACACATCATCCATGCAGTGGACCTGCAGAGTGGTTCATCAGCACCTGCGGGAGGTGAGAGACGTGCACACCCACACGCACACACCCCCTCAAGGCCTACCTGAGAGCAGAGTGTGGCCTCCTCATGGAAATAGCCCCTCATGAAGTCACAGTACTCACGGGAGGTGATCTCACACCTGGAGAGTCAGGCTAGGGTTTGGATGTGCTACCGAGTCCAGGGACAGGCACTGTCCACACCGCCCAGGCTTCTGCTGAACACCCACATGCCTGTCCTGGCCCTCTGGGTTTCCCAGACCTTGGGAAGGGGGGGATGGCCGCTCCGTGGCAGTGCTCAACCCTGGGCCAGCCGCATGGGCACACCTACCTGCCCTTGGTGCCAATGCAGCAGGGCCGGCCGGTTATGGCGCAGTCCATGTGTGGGTGGTTGGTGTGGTTCCCAGCACTGTTTTTGGTGCAAATCTGGATCACAAATGGGAGCAACTGGGGTCAGGGCCTCTCCCTGCCTTTGGCCATACATCCCATTCAGTGCCAAGGCAAACAAGAAAACCCACAGGGTAGGAAATAGGCTTCCTTGAGTTCAGGCATACTGTTGCACCCTAAGACTAAGCTAGCCCATGTGCCAAACTAGAATATTTAGCCTCTTCCCCCTGCCATGTCTCCACCTAGTTCCTTGCTCGGGGAGGGAGATGTTGCTGAGTAGGCTGGGCCAAGGGCAGGGACACAGCCTCTGAACGCATGAGGCGGTCCCTTCCAGTGGGAGTCTGGTATCAATGGTGGGCGTAGTCACCCCCACCCCAACATGACAAGTGTGACTCCCTGGCAGCCGCTGCCCCAGCTCACCGGCCACTTGGTGATGTCTTCTGGCCACTCATGTGGGTCCTCGGAGGAGGGCTCGTCACACACCCTGCATGCACCCAGATACTGTCAACCTCCTCCATCCCCAGCATTGACGCCCTCCTGCCCAAGCCAACAACAGGGAACACCCTACCCCTCACAGGCAGATAGGAAGGCGGGTGACAGGCCAGCCAGCAGGACTGACCTGGGGTCCTGGTGGCAGACAGAGCCAAACAGCCTCTTGTGGCCAGCAAGGTCTGGAGCACTGGGATGGATGGGCCACTTCACCCACACTGCCAGAGTGGACTGGGGACACAGGACCAGCCTCTGGTCAGAGCAGACCCTTGCCCACTCTGAGCCATGTGGTGAGGAGTCAGGAAATCAAAAGCAAAGCCACCGAGCCCCACTTCACCCTGTGAGCTCCTACCACAGCCACACAGAGCACATAGGGAGGGATTCTGAGAGCAAGCAACAGCAGAACTCCTAGGTAAGTCTCCTGACTTGAGCCACTGGTATTAACGATGGCACCTCCAGGTAGTGCATGACCAGATCAAGAAGTCAGGTGGTAATCTGTCCAGGACTGGGGGAGCACCGAGGTCGGGGTTGAGAAGGCAAAGTGACAGAGCCTAGAGCTTGTTGAAGCCACAAACCAGCCGCCACAGAAAAGGAGACTTCCAAGAGGCTGAGGCGGGGTGGGGGGCCCTCACCGAGCACTCCTCCTCGGAGGTCTGCACGCAACCAGACCTATCGTTGCGCACACAGCAGGCTGAGTGCTTCTCCCGCTCCCGGGCCGCGTGGATGAAGCTGTGGACCTGCGGGTCCTGGCGCATGCAGGGAGAAAACTTGGCGCCCAGGTGGATGAGGGCCTCCTGTGGTGAAGACAGCAGCTGTGGCCCCAGGCTCCTGCCCGCTAGCTCGCTCCTATGCCCCCCCCCACCCTGCCTTACCGAGCTGGGGCCAATCCAGAAGTTCTCCTGCTGCACATGCTTGACGTTCTCATAGACGCCACGGTTCCGGAGCACCTGGCGGCCAGGGACAGAGTTCCCACCAGACTTGAGGCCCTCTCCTCCCAGAGGGCGCCCAGAGCTAGGGTTCCAACCATCCCAGCCTGGGAAGAGGGCCGAGGCTCACCGAGTCCACTGTCTCATGCTGCGAGAAGCCCACCGGCGCAATGCCGTAGATGCACACAGCTAGGATGGTGACCAGTGAGTGGACGAAGGTAAGCCAGTAGGTGAAGAAGGGCCTGTGGGGCACAGGGTCAGTAGGGCACACCCCTAGCCGGAGCCCCAGTCCTGCCCATGAGCCTCCCCTGTACACCCAGGCTCTGCCCAAGAGGCAGTGCGTTTTCCCGGCCTACCTGTGGTCATCCATGTCCTCGATCTGGCGCTTGACGTAGCTGTCGATGCGCTTGCGGTAGGTGCGGTTGGTGAGCCGCCCCACCATGCCCAGCCCGTAGGGCCGCTTCTCCCTGGCGAAGAGCTTGTGCACAGGCACGGCAATGCGCTGGCCCCTCCTGGGCCCTGCAGGGCTCACTACCTCCTGCCGAAGCCTCACCCTGGGCTGTGTGGCCAGGGCGCCACCCTCTTTCTGCTTCCGCCAGCCTCGCTCCAGGGGCCTGGAGAAAACCAGCAGCCTCGTTCACCTCCTGCTCAGACCCCACCCACTTGGCGCAGTCCCCTCTGCGTGGAATCAGGGTCCTGCTCCCTGCTATGAAAGCATAGGGCAAACTGCTCAGCCTCAGCCTCTTCCTGCTGGTAAAGAGGCAGCCATCCCCCACTTCAGGATGGCAGGAAAGGAGCTAGGACCCACTAGAGGTTCCACACCTCTGCATTAATGAGGTCAGCCCCTTCTCCCCACTGAAGATGCCCAGTCCTTGGGCTACAGGCGTGTCCCAGGTGGGCAGTCCAGGCTGGAATCATGCATAACCCTGGGTCCTCCACACACAGTGCCCAGACCAGTTTCCCAGGCAATTGGGCCATGAATGTGGAGTGTCTCTCCCAACAGTCACAGGGATCCTAATGGGACAAAAATTCGCCTTCTAAGCTAGGCACCAGTGGCTCACGCCTGTCGTCCTAGCTACTCAGGAGGCTGAGATCTGAGGATCTTGGTCTGAAGCCAGCCCAGTCAGGAAAACCTGTGACTCTTCTCTCCAATGAACCACCAGAAAACCAGAAGTGGTGCCATGGCTCAAAGTAGTAGAGCGCTCGCCTTGAGCAAAAGAGCTCAGGACAGCACCCAGACCACAAGTTCAAGCCCCAAGACTGACTTTTTTGTTGTTGTTGGTTGTGGGGTTTGAACTCTGGGCCTGGGCGCTGTCCCTGCACTCTTCAGCTTGAGGTGAGTGCTCTACCGCTTGAGCTACAGCACCATTTCCGGTTTTCTAGTGGCTTATTGGAGATAAGAGTCTCATGGACTTTTCTGCCTGGGCTGGCTTTGAACCGTGATCCTCAGATCTCGGCCTCCTCAGTAGCTAGGATGACAGGTGTGAGCCACCGGCGCCTGGCTTTTTTTGTCTTCAAGGTTCTCCTGGAGCCATCGCCAGCCTGCTGCACTTACAGCATCAAATGGCTCCGCTCAAGCTCAGTGCGACCCAGAGCCCCACCGGTGAGTTCTGCCTGCTCCGAGACTTTCTCCCAGTCCTGGAGCGCCGCCTCTGAAGGGGACTCAAACACCTCATCCGGGTAGGTGGACAGCTCCTCATGAAGGACACCTTCCTGAGCAAACACAGGCAGTTAGGGTGGACCCAGGGACGCGGCAGGCGAGGGGGCCACCAGCAAGTCTTACCCGGGCAAAGAAGGATGTGTCCAGCTCCTCGGGGAAGTCTGCCGTGTCCTCCTCCAGGAAGCTGGCCGGAGTGAAGCTGCGACGCTGGGCCCGGCGCAGGGTGCCCTCCCTAACCGCTCGACCCTGGGGGCGAGGACACTGCCATAGGACCCAGCAGCTGCCCCTGCCCCGGCTCCATCCTCGGCCCCCACCAACCTTCACCAGTGCCGCCGCTGCCCGGAAGCTCATCTTGGCCACGGACTCACGCTTGCGCCGCCGAGGAAACCGGTTGAAACCTGAGCGGGAACTGGAGAAGGAGCAGAGGGAGGCAGCTCCAGGGGTGATGGGGGTGTGGGGGACACTCGGGCCATCGGCAGCATCGTCCGCCAGGCGGAAGGCCCGGCCCCGGGCCAGAGGGTCGATGATCTGGTGCAGGCCAGGGGAGAGGACAGGTCAGTGCGGCGCCTCGGGGAGGCTGGCCCCCTCTCACCCTCACGGCCCTGACAGCTGCCTGGGACCACGGCTCGCCCGGAGCGCTGCCAAGGGGCCTTCTCCCCTCCCCCACCCCTCCCCCTGCTCTGCTGGTCTAGGTGAGATGTTCTACCCAGCTCACCCTGGTACAGACCAGCAACCTTCTCCCTCTCGGTTCCTCTCCTGGAGTGGACCTTCCTTCCTTCCCAACAATCCCCACACCACACAGGGCCCCTCTCCCACCCAAGGGGCTGGGATGAAAAGCGATGGGGCACCAGGAGCAAGCACACCTTCTGCATGCCCAGCTGGCATGGGCCCACATACAGTGGGGGTGGGGTCTCCGTGCTGGCCAGCGACACATTGTCCTGGCTGGGCAAGTCCAGCTCCCGGAGGACCTGGGGCTTCAGCCTGCCGTACCGCTGGCTGCAGTGGCGGATGCTCTTGCGCTGCCACTTCTGGGTGCTGTCGCTGTCCTTGCTCACTCCAAACCAGTCAGCTGTGCCCCTGACAAGGCAGGGACTTGGCAAGGGGCCCTTGCACCCCCTCCTCCTCGGCATGGGCCTCAGAGCCCAGCCTCCTGGGCAGCATGCCCCACTCCAGGGCCCCGTTCAAGCTAGGACCAGAGTCCACAGAGAGGGCACAGTTACAAAGACAAGTGGAGTCCAGCCCTAACCACCCCTGGCTCACTCTGATTCCTACCAGATCACCCTACCGCCTTGCCCAGTGGCATTCCACAGCAGCCCTCATCCCTCCCTGAGTCCAGAGAGAGAACTCAGCCGGACGGCAGCCACAGCCAAGGACGGCACAGAGCACAGAGCACGGGAGCTGCTGACTCAGGCAGGCTGCCCAGTCTTTGGACATGCAAACAAAAAGACTGCCATCATCTACCATCAGGAGCCCCAGGAAATGGCAGCCATTCATGCTGCATAGCATGCACGTGCCAGTGAACACCAACGCACTCATGATCTGCCTAAGGTACCTGAGCAGGGACCAAGAGAGAGACTGGCGCTGTGTGGGAACCCTGTGGGCAGCCCGGGGGCCCAGGAGGGGCAGAGTGTGGACACGCCCAAAGCGCACCTGTCGGCTGTGGGGGGCCAGAGCATTAGTGTTGGGGAGACAGGCAGAGGCGGCAGAGAGCGGTCTCAAGCACAGGGAGATGGAGGGGAAACCTGAGACGAGGGCGCCCGAGCCACCCCAGCCCCAATGCCCAAAGGAACCTGCCCCGCCCTCTGCCCCGGAGCGGCCAGGGCTGTGGTACCTGCGGATGGTCTGTGTGATGGATGTCTGCCGCTGCAGCGCAGGCCGCCGCGGCTCAGGGTAGAGTGCGGGGGCGGGGGCCGTCTCGGCTGGCATACTCACACTCCGCAGGAAAACCTGGCGCCGGAGGGGCTAGGCGATGAGACCGCAGTGAGGAGCCGGGGCAGGGCTAACCCTCGGCCCCTGTCAGCCAGCGCCGGAGCAGGCAGCCTACCTGCAGGAGGCCAGGCTCCTCTGCCGCCAGGGGCACCACAGCCGGGATGTCCAGCCTGAGCCAGGGGGGCTTCTTGCGCTGCAGGCTGCTTGTGCCGTCCCTCCGGGCCTCGCTCATGGTTCCAGGAGGAGAAGGCCTGGCGAGGAGAGGGGAGTGCTGTGCCAGGCAGGCCTGGGGACGGGACACACCACACAGTAACAACAACCCTGGCGAGCCTGGAGCTGTGACAGGCCCAGGCAGTGGAGAGGCGCGGTGGTGAACCCGACAGAGCACCGGCCTGCTCTGTGCGACCTCAGCCTCCTCGGATCCCTTCTCAGACAAGCAGCCTTGGTGTTCCAAGGAGACAGTCACTAAGGAAAAACTGCAAATGCTCAGCATGCTTGATTCATTTTTCCCACACCACCACCCAGCCCCACTAAGGACATGCCACCTTCAACAGATCTCCAGTTGCTGTCAGGCACAGGTGGCTGACACCTACGATTCTAGGGTACCTGAGAAGCTGAGATAGAGTGAACCATAGTTCAAAGCCAGCTAGGCAAAAAAGTTCACAAGACCTCTTCTCAACCAAATGTTGGGTGAGTCTTCCTAGCTATGTATGAAGTATTAAATAGGCAGGTGGCCTCATGGGCAGGGTTTCAGACCAAGGCTGAAGTAGAGCAGGTGGAGCTGCCAGATGGGAAGAAGAGAAGAAAGGTCCTGGTGCTCCCCTCACATGGAGGCCCCAAGATAAGGTTGCGAGATAAAGGCAAGGTAAAATCCCTCCCTCCTAAGAAGCCAAAACCCCAGGTAAACAAGAGGAAGCAAGAGAAGCAGCAGTTGTCTTCCATGCAGGTATCTAGGAAAAAGGCTAAGGGAAATAAGGCAGAAACTCACTTCAACCAATTAGTTGAACAGTACAAGCAGAAATTGTTGGGACCTTCTAAAGGAGCACCTCTAGCAAAGAGGAGCAAATGGTTTGATAGTTGATGATACTAGAAGACTGGGTAAGAAGCCCAGTGTGCATTTCCTCCTGATGTTAGCCCACCCCCGTGTCTCACTGAGAGAAGCAAGGTCCCAGATGGCACCCTCTCTGCAGGCTTTGTGGGCTGTGCACACCTGAACTTTGGTCTCTCCTTGGTGTGTGGTTGATTAGCCACAAAGACAAATCCAGAAAAATCTTGCATATTACCCGATTATTGTATGAAGTTGTGTAAATGATTGCTGCCTATTTTTACTCTGCTTCTCCAATGGAATTAAGTGTAAAAAGCATTCTGACTTTTTAAGATGTATATTTTATTAAGTGTCCTCTAAGTGAAAAAATAAATAAATAAATAAATAGGCAGGTGGAGGTCCAGGAACCCACCCAGGGAAGAAGCAGCATCCTGCCTCAAAATACCCAGTGTAAAAAAAGACTAGAGGCACGCATCCACAGTAGAGCACCCACCTAGCAGCCCAAGGCCAAGTTCAAGCCCAGGGGCACAACCCCCAAAAAATTTCACTTTATCACTTAAACACATAAACTTGTATTTGTGTATGTGTGTGTGAGAGACAGACAGACAGCGTATGTGTGTCCTAGGGCTTAAACTCAGGGCCTGGGCACGGTCCCTGAGCTTTTTTGCTTAAGGCTAGTGCTCTAACACTTGAGCCACAGCTCCACTTCTGGCTTTTGGGGTGTTCACTGGATAAAATTCCACAGGGCTGGGAAGATGCTTAATGGGAGCGTGCGTGAGTAGCATGCATGAAGCCCTAGGTTCAATCCTTCAGTACTACATACGCAGAAAATGCCAGACATGGAGCTGTGGCGCAAGTGATAGAGTGCTAGCCTTGAGCAAAAGAATCTCAGAGATAGTGCCCAGGCCCTGAGTTCAAGCCCCAGGACTGTCTAGAAGGGAAAAAAACAAAAACAAACAGAATTCCACAGCTTTTCCTGCCTAGGCTGGCTTTAAACCATGATCCTTAGATCTCAGCCTCCTAAGTATCTAGGATTATATGAGCCACTGGCACCTGGCAGCACATTCAGTTTTACCTTGCTTTTTAGGTACTATTTGCTTTTTTTTTTTTTTGGAATGGGAGGTAGTTATTTGGAGTTAAGAGTCTCGTGGGCTTTCCTGCCTGGGCTGGCTTCAAACTGTGATCCTCAGATCTGTTTCCTGAGTAACCAGGATTATAGTTGTGATGCACCAGTGCCCAGCTATATGTTTAGGAGACATATATTCACAAAATTAAGGGTGGGAAATTCTGCAGAGCACACAGTCATTTAAACACAACAGACAGTAACAAGAGACAGAGCTTCTGTGCATCAGCTGAGCTATGTAATATACACATTGATAAATTGATTTTGAAATTTTTTGTTTGTCTGTTGTTAGTCTTGGGGCTTGAACTTAAAGCCTGGGCTCTATACCTGAGCTTTATTGGTAAAGGTTAGGGCTCTACCACTTCGAGCCACAATACTACTTCCAGTTTTCTGGTGGTTAACTGGAGATAGGAATCTCACAGCTTTAGTCCTCAGATCTCAGCCTCCTGAGCAGCTAGGATTACAGGCGTGAGCCACCAGCACCGGGCAACCCAAGGAAGTTTTGAACACATACCACCAATATACCTGGATGAGAACCAAGCTCCTACCCTCCTGGTCCTTAAGAGGGGACATTTACAGTTTATGTAACACTAACCCTCTCAGTAAATGTACACACAGGCTCTATGTGGTAGGGAAAATAACCCAGCAGGTTAGAGTTGCTTGGTGGGGTCTAGTGAGGCCCCTGTGACATATCAGCTGGGCTGTGGGGCCAGGGACAAGGACCAGGCCTGGGGGGGGGCTTGAGGCTCCAGCCTATCCACATCCATCTCGCCTCTCACCACCAGGTGGCAGCATGCACCAGAAGTGGCAGCAAGGCTACTCAAGCAGATGGGAGCGTGCGGGCACCCTGAACACCAGAGACCAGGTCCAGGGAAAGACCCAGCGCCCTGGCTTCCTGGGGCCCCTTACAAGGGTGCTCTTGGCACATCTGCATGCGCCCCTTCCAGGGGCCCGAGATAGATGCAAGGTTGGAAGACCCTCTGCACACAGACATGGGTGGAGGTGGGGTTTTATGAAGTAAGACTTGGAAGGTAGAAAGCACAAAATTTGTCTCCTCAACATGTGACACCCAACAGCTCTGCTACAGGGTGTATACCAGGCATCGATGCACCAGACATGGCTTCCACTTGGGAGTTTCTCTCTTGTCAGTCGTGGAACTTGAACTCAGGGCCTGGGCTCTGTTCAAGGCTAGAGCTCAACCACCTGAGCAACAGCTCCACTTCTGTTTTTTTCTGTGTATGTGGTGCTGAGGAACTTAACCCAGGGCTTCGTGCCTGCTAGGCGAGCGCTCTACCACTGAGCCACCTTCCCAGCTTCTCCATCCTCCCCTTCTCCCCCCCCCCCCCCGCCCCGCCCCCAGCTCTTTTTGCTCAAGGCCAGCGCTCTACCACTTTGAGCCACAGCGCCACTTCTGGTTTTCTGGTGGTTAACTGGAGATAAGAGTCTCAAGGACTTTCCTGCCCAGGCTGGCTTTGAACTGTGATCCTCAGATCTCAGCCTCCTGAGTAGCTAGGATTACAGGCCTGAGTCAACAGTGCCTGGCAGGAGTTTCTCTTCATTGCTTTAGAGGAAACAGAAGTACACACACACACACACACACACACACACACACACACACACACACACACACTTACATTATACAAATGCAGAAAGTGAGGGGCTGGGGCTGGGAAGGTGGCTCAGTGGTAGAGTGCTTGCCTAGCATGCATGAAGCCCTGGGTTCAATTCCTCAGCACCACATACACAGAAAAAGCTGGAAGTGGTGCTGTGGCTCAAGTGGTAGAGTGCTCACCTTGAGCTAAAGAAGCTCAGGGACAACACCCAGGCCCTGAGTTCAAGACCCAGGACTGGCAAAGAAAGAAAGAGAGAGAGGCCTGAAGAACAGAGTAATATAACTACACAAGCCCAAGAGGTACTCCAGGGGCCTATTGGGCCTACATTGACCAGAGAAGGCCCACAGCACCGTGCTAGACTTGACTGACCAGGAACAGCTGTGGATGCTGCTCACAGCTCCTTCTGGCCTACAGTGACCAGGACATGGGAGACAATCCTTCAGACATTTATGCCTGACTCTAACTCTGACCTAGCTCCAATCCCTTCTCTGAGCTATGCCCCGCTTACAGCAGCTAGGAAGTAGAGCTGAAGGGAACTCCTAGGTGTGGTGGCCAAGGGTCCCTCCCTGCATTCACACGGCCTCTCTCAGGGCCATGGGTCAGGCAATTTGCTTCACAGAGCTCCTGGCTACCGTGTTGGGAGGATGAACTGTCAGGAAGGCATCCTGACTGCAAAGTGAGTGAGGCAAGGTCTCAATGGAAACTGAACCATTCCAGGCTGGAACACTGTGCACCATACACCCAGCCCAGACTCCTAGGAGAGTCCATCCAGCCCACCCCGCCAGCCAGGGACCCTGCGATCGCCATACAGTCACCTGCCAGTTAGTGAGCGGAGTCAAGAGCCACTGCTAGGTCTGAATCTGACCCAGTCCTAGGTATAAGGGTCAGGGAGAACCTGCTGAACCTCCCAGGAAGCCAGGCCAGACCTGCCGGAGGGACCAGGCAGTCAGCTGACCAAGGACAGCCATGTCCACAGAGACAAGTAGGCCAGGACAGACAGGACAGAGGCCCCAGCACTCCAAGAGGGACAGAAGCTACTCTGCCTTCCATCCACCAAGAGGGGAGACTGGCTGGTCTTTCTACCCATCAGCCACATGGCCTGGCTAGACTCCATCTCCAGTGCTGTTAATAAGCCTGTTATGTGGCCCAGACAGGAACAGGGTCAGGCATGGACAGAACAGCAGAGCCTGCTGGGAAGGTACAGGTGAGCGGTGGTGACCAGCAGGGGTACAAGCAGCTCTGCAAACGGATACACACACCCCGATCCTCACCTGTCTGCACAGCCGGTGCCCTCCTCCCCCCAGCCCTGCCCTGGCCGTCTCCCCGTTTCCTGTGTGATGGAGGGCCTGCTCTTCAGTCACGCTGCCCCACCCAGCAGGCCCTTGCCGGCAGAGGGGCGGAGGGCAGTCCCCAGACACAGTGGCAATGGTGGTTATTGAAGCAGATGACCCTCAGCTGGACCTTCAAGGGGTCCCTGTCCGGCACAAAGGAGAGCACGAACAGCTCCCAAAGCGGGGAGAAGTGCAGAGCGCTGTGCAGTGAGGCCAGCCCTACCCTCAGCCCCGCCAGCCCCTCCTCCTGGGGTAGAGGAAGGAGGGTACAAGAGAACCCACATTGCTCTAGGTCTAAAAGCAAGGCAAGGACACCCATCCGCCCCGCAGAGCGGTGACTCCGGCCTGTTCCGTCACTGCGCACTCTGCTCCTTATGTGAGCCTCAAGTTGGCTGGATTCACAAAGCGTGGGGGAGGGGCAGGCCCAGGCCAGGGGCAGCACCGTCTGCCCACAGTAGCTCAGTGTCCAGGCGCACAGTGGGCTCTTGTTCCCCAACAGCCCCAGGGACTCTTCCACTCTGGGGCTCCACAGTACAGAGGAGGGCCCGTGGAGGGCCTGTCCGCCTGGGGTCACACAGCGCGAGTCACTCCAGCCGCTCGGAGACGCCCACAGGGACATGTAGCACGATGAGGTCTGCGGGGCAGGCCTAAGGATGAGCCTGAGTCAGGGGCCACCGGGAACAGCGGTGCCTTCCACGCGCTCCACGCAGCTCAGAGGACGGAGGGCAAGGACAGTCAGGGTGCCCAGGCTCTGCTTGTTGGAATCTACTCTGGAGACTAGCGGGAAGTGGGAGCCACTGTGACTGTCACAGCCGATGCATTTCCTGGGGATACAGGAGTCCTGCTGACTCTCGTTCTGTGGTACAATGTCTGAGGGCTCGCTGGCCATCACTGGTGCATCAAGGAAGGGAGCAAGCGGGGAAAGCCAGGCCAAAATGCTATACCCATAATCGATCTGTCTCCACCCCTAACTCTGGACAGGCCGTGGTTTTTTGTGTGAAGGATCACAGGTGATGACAGTGCCTGGCAGATAGTAGGTGTTCATGAAGTGACGGCTGGCTCAACACAGGCATGTAGGAGCTCTGAGGGCTGCAGGAGGAAGCCGGGGTGAGAGGGCCTCACTGTGGAACACTTCAGAGGTGTGGGGTTCAGTAACAGGCAGCCACGCCAGGCACCAGTGGCTCACACATACGTGAGGATCTCCACTCAAAGCCAGCCCATGAGACTCTTATCTCCAATGAACCACCAAGAGGCCAGACATGGAGATGTGGCTCCAGTGGTAGCATGCTAGCCTTGAGCTAAAACAGCTTGGGAACAGTGTGCAGGCCCTGAGTTCAAGCCCCAGGTCTGTCACCAAAAAAAAAAAAAAAAAGAGGAAGGGGCCGCTAAGAAGCACTGGGAGCTGGCGGGGAAGGACGTCCCTAGGCCACCCACGCTCTGCTCTGCTCTGCTCTACCCCACTCGCCCTGGCTCAGACCCTGTTTTCTCTTCCAACCTGGTGTTCAGCCTCAGTCCTCCCTAGGCGAGATCACAGCTCTGGAGCCTGGATTCCAGTTCTTCACCACATACTACTGTAGTAAAGCAAACGTTTCCTAGCTTCTCTGTCTCCTTACACCATCTCCAAGCATCACCATGTGGAGACTCCCTTTGCAATCCACAAAGCACTCTAGTCCTCACAGTCTTTTTCTGTGGAAGAACCAAGTTTCCACATGCAACAGGGCAGCCTGATAGCAAGCCAGCGGCCTCCACAGCACCTTCTCCTCAGATCTCCCCCCTCCCCCCCATGGCCCTGTCACCTGACATGCTGGAGAGCATGGAGAGCAGCAGCCACAGCGGGCTTTCGGCTGTGGTCTGGGAGATGTGGCGGAGGCTGTGACACTCCGGGCCCTGACATAGAAGGTAGACTACAGGACGGACAGAGGGGTTAGCCATGGAGGGCATTGTCCTGTGGTCCAGCCATGGAGGGCATTATCCCATGATCCAGCTATGGAGGGTATTATCCCATGATCCAGCTATGGAGGGTATTATCCCGTGATCCAGCCATGGAGGGCATTATCCCGTGCTCCAGCCATGGAGGACATTATCCTGTGGTCAATCCATGGAGGGCATTATCCCTTGGTCCAGCCATGGAGGGGATTATCCAGTGGTCCAGCCATGGAGGGCATTATCCCATGGTCTAGCCATGGAAGGCATTATCCTGTGGTCCAGCCAGCCATGGAGGGCATTATCCCGTGGTCCAGTCATGGAGGACATTATCCCGTGGTCTAGCCATGGAGGGCATTATCCTGTGGTCCAGCCAGCCATGGAGGGCATTATCCCGTGGTCCAGCCAGCTATGGAGGGCATTATCCCATGGTCCAGCCATGGAGGACATTATCCCGTGGTCCAGCCAGCCATGGAGGGCATTATCCCGTGGTCCAGCCAGCCATGGAGAGCATTATCCCGTGGTCCAGCCAGCCATGGAGAGCATTATCCCGTGGTCCAGCCAGCCATGGAGGGCATTATCCCGTGGTCCAGCCAGCTATGGAGGGCATTATCCCATGGTCCAGCCATGGAGGACATTATCCCGTGGTCCAGTCAACCATGGAGAGCATTATCCCGTGGTCCAGCCAGCCATGGAGGGCATTATCCCATGGTCCACCAGCCATGGAGGGCTTTATCCCGTGGTCCAGCCAGCCATGGAGGGCATTATCCCGTGGTCCAGCCATGGAGGGCATTATCCTGTGGTACAGCCATGGAAGGCATTATCCCGTGGTCCAGCCATGGAGAGCATTATTCCGTGGTCCAGCCAGCCATGGAGGGCTTTATCCCGTGGTCCAGCCAGCCATGGAGGGCTTTATCCCGTGGTCCAGCCAGCCATGGAGGGCTTTATCCCGTGGTCCAGCCAGCCATGGAGGGCATTATCCCGTGGTCCAGCCATGGAGAGCATTATCCCGTGGTCCAGCCATGGAGGGGATTATCCAGTGGTCCAGCCAGCCATGGAGGGCATTATCCCATGGTCCAGCCATGGAGAGCATTATCCCATGGTCCAGCCATGGAGGGCATTATCCCATGGTCCAGCCATGGAGGGCATTATCCCATGGTCCAGCCAGCCATGGAGGCATTATCCCATGGTCCAGCCATGGAGGGCATTATCCCATGGTCCAGCCAGCCATGGAGGCATTATCCCATGGTCCAGCCATGGAGGGCATTATCTCATGGTCCAGCCATGGAGGGCATTATCCCATGGTCCAGCCAGCCATGGAGGCATTATCCCATGGTCCAGCCATGGAGGGCATTATCACATGGTCCAGCCATGGAGGCATTATCCTGTGGTCCAGCCATGGAGGGCATTATCCCATGGTCCAGCCAGCTATGGAGGCATTATCCCGTGGTCCAGCCATGGAGGAGATTATCCAGTGGTCCAGCCAGCCATGGAGGGCATTATCCCATGGTTCAGCCAACCATGGAGGCATTATCCCATGGTCCAGCCATGGAGGGCATTATCCTGTGGTCCAGCCATGGAGGGGATTATCCCGTGGTTCAGCCAGCTATGGAAGGCATTATCCCGTAGTCCAGTCAGCACCCATGGTCCAGGGGTGGCTGATGGCCAGAGTCAAAGCTCCCAACAAAGTCTGGACTGACAAGAGACACACCTGAGTGAGTCAAGGCTCAGAGAGGTGAGGGGCCATCCAGACACCAGAGCCAGAAGAGGTAAGAATGGGACTCAGCTGTATCATTTCCTGGGTGTGAACCACCTGCTAAGCTGGATACTTGTGCAGCCCAGCCAGGCACTGGGAGTTAAGCGGCCGCATGCTCCCCTGGAGGGCAGGGACATCCACACATCTGTGTGTGATAACAGCAGATGAGCAACCCAGTCTCAGGTCAGCTCACAGACGTGCCCTAACCATCCCACAAACTGCTTCCTGCTACCCAGTAACACTTCCTGGAAGCAGAATCAGACTGACATCTCCTGAAGGGGAAACGGAGTCAGCAAAAATGGCTTCATCATCAGGAACCTGGCACACCTCTCTCAAACCTGATTCTAGGGCAGGCCTGGTGTTACAAGCCTGCAATCCCAGCACTCAGGAGGCTAAGGAGGGAGGATCATGAGTCCCAGGACAGCCTGAGCTACATAGCAAAACACTGTCTAAAACAAACAAGAGTCCTAACTAACCCCACTGGTCTGCCTTACCCATGGGAGAAGAGAGGTCCTTCATGTCTGTCTTATCCTAACTACTCAGGAGGCTGAGATCTGAGGATTGAGGTTCAAAGCCAGCCAGGAAAGGAAAGTCCATGAGACTCTTATGTCCAATGAAGCACTAGAAAACCACAAGTGGTGCTGTGGCTCAAGTGGTAGAGCGCTCACCTTGAGCTGAAGAGCTGAGGGACAGCGCCCAAGCCCAGAGTTCAAGCCCCATGACTGACAAAGGGAGGGAGGGAGGGAGGGAGGGAGGGATACTGAAACTCAGGCCAGCCACTGCCTGAGGTCAGTGAACCTCAAGGGACTGGACACCACAGCCAGGTGGGCAGGGCTGTAGGTCCAGCAGGAGCTGAGGCAGGAAGGGCCGGTCTGCCACTGGCTGTAGAGCACCTGGGCCTCAGCTCTGGGCTGTCAAGGACCCCCAGCATCCTGGGCAACCTTCTTAGAAGCATCTCAGCTCAGACAGGCAGGAGGCACTCATAAAGACAACACAGAAGACACGCAGAAGCAAGGGTTCTGTGCGGGGGAAGGAAGTAACCCCTCAGAGACGTTGAGGTGGGACGGGTCCTTCCATCAGGGTCCCGAGAAACAGCTGCAGCCAGAAAGGTCCTAGGGGAGGACCATCAAAAGCAAGGTCCTAGGGAAGGACCATCAAAAGCAAGGGGGCTGGGGTTCCTCTGAGTCAGATCCTCCAGAAAGCCACGGCATCAGGAAGGGACAGGCAGGGCCTCCGAGCACGGGAGCTGACAGCCCACGGAGCGGAGCGGTGCACAGGGCCTGGGAAGGAGCCCAAGGAAGCTGCCTTCCATCCGGACCCGCACACCCCCGGGTCCCCACTCCACGCTGGGAGGAGGCCCAGCTTGCCAAGACCCCAGTGCCCAGGGCTCAGCACCAGGGGCCCCTCCAGCCGGACAGCTGCTGGAGGAGCTGGCTCATGGGCGGGGAGGACCCGGCCGGGAGCGGGGAGGACCCGGCCGGGAGCGGGGAGGACCCGGCCGGGAGCGGGGAGGACGCGGCCGGGAGTGGGGAGGACCCGGCCGGGAGTGGGGAGGACGCAGCCGGGAGTGGGGAGGACCCGGCCGGGAGTGGGGAGGACGCAGCCGGGAGTGGGGAGGATGCAGCCGGGAGTGGGGAGGACCCGGCCGGGAGTGGGGAGGACCCGGCCGGGAGTGGGGAGGACCCGGCCGGGAGCGAGGAGGACCCGGCCGGGAGCGGGGAGGACCCGGGCGGGAGTGGGGAGGACGCGGCCGGGAGTGGGGAGGACCCGGCCGGGAGCGGGGAGGACCCGGCCGGGAGCGGGGAGGACGCGGCCGGGAGCGGGGAGGACGCAGCCGGGAGCGGGGAGGACGCAGCCGGGAGCGGGGAGGACGCGGCCGGGAGTGGGGAGGACCCGGCCGGGAGTGGGGAGGACCCGGCCGGGAGTGGGGAGGACGCGGCCGGGAGCGGGGAGGACGCGGCCGGGAGTGGGGAGGACGCGGCCGGGAGTGGGGAGGACGCAGCCGGGAGTGGGGAGGACCCGGCCGGGAGTGGGGAGGACCCGGCCGGGAGTGGGGAGGACCCGGCCGGGAGTGGGGAGGACGCAGCCGGGAGTGGGGAGGACGCAGCCGGGAGTGGGGAGGACCCGGCCGGGAGTGGGGAGGACGCAGCCGGGAGTGGGGAGGACGCGGGCGGGAGCGGGGAGGACCCGGCCGGGAGCGGGGAGGACGCAGCCCAAGGCCGGGCTTCCCCGGGCTGAACCTGAAAAGCCAGTTTCATCCCGAATCTTCTCCCACCCCAGCTGTCCGGCGGCGCGGGCCTGAGACAGCTACAGAGGACACACAGACAGACAGACAGCCGACAGACACACACACGCCCCGCCGCTGGCTGGAAGAAGCGCGTCCAGCACGGGGCTGGCGCCTCCGGACGCAGGCCTCACCACCGCGACAGACAGACAGACAGACGCACGCGCACGCACGCGCAGCGCCGCCGCCGGCCCCGGGCCTCGCGCAGGGCGGAGCCGACGGTGCGGACGGCGGCCGGGGCCCGGGCGGCCGGGGAGGCCCCGCGGGGCCCCGACGCCGGCCCCTCCGGGCGCCCGCGGGCCGGAAACCCCCCAACCAAGTCGGCGCCCGGAGCCCGCCCGCCCGCGCACTCACCGCCGCCGCCGCGGGCTTCGAGGCGTCCGGAGGCTGCGGGGCCGCCGAGCCGGGAGGGCGCCCGCGCC